GATTCTGTTTGAATTTTCTCTCTTTTTTTTATTAAGATAAGCTGGCACCCAGAATAGTTTGCTGACACCTGCTTCCAGAGTTCATGACCACTCTGGAAAACAATTCTCCATCACTTAAGAAAAATCAGGAGTTTCTATAATGCTATGTAAATGGCTGTATCCTTCACTATACCAGATCTATATCCATTCTGCAGTGCAAAGAATTGGTGTGCAAAAAATACAATATATAAAGCGAATTCAAGCTCCCTAGATAAACAATTACTGCTCTTCTTTTTTCTTTCCATGCTTGGCAAAAAAAAAATCCACAGGTCAAATAAGTTCTCCTTCTTCAGAATATTAAGTATGTGAGCACGAGCCATTTCATAACAACCCTTGTAAGAAATCTCACTGGTTACATCAGATCAGCAAGGAGAAGCAGTCACTAGTTGCAAATGTCACAAAATAAAATTACTCGTTTGGGAAAGGAGAAAATAGACTTGTAGGTCTTCACCACCACTGAGGAATATTTGGGACTGGAGACATTTATTAATCAAAAAGATCCTGCACAACAGGCTTAGGTGGAACTGCCCCAGCTGGCAGAGACACACTTGCCTTTTGCTGTAGGCAAAAAATTACAGAGTTTTGCCAACACTAATAATCGAAAATCATAAAAAACACTCTAAATTTAAAAGCAGAAGCCTAGGAAATCTAATCTTATTACATTTTAACCCATAGTACAGAACTCAAAACCTGTAAGAATTGGGCAGGAATTTTCACAAGCCACTGCCCAGAATTTTGTGATCTACTTCTGAAAAGAAAAAAGCCAGCTTTTTTTTTCTTTTTCTTTTTTTTTTCCCCTCTGAACACACAATCGTTTCAGACCATCTTTCAGAGCAATGCATTAGCAGGCTGGCCATCATTTAATTCTTCGTGCTCAGGTGCCTCCATTTTACAAAACCCAGAGAGAATTTCAGATTGCAGCATGCCAGTTCCAAAATCAGGCAAACTAATCTGAAACCGGAATTTTCTATCAGCACAGTTTAGGGAAAGCCTGAGCTCCTGGGAGCTTTTCTCCTGTGGCTTTGCTGGAAAGCCTCAGAGCAGCCTGGCTGTGTTTGATTGTGCTGTAGCAAAGGAGGATGTGATAAGATCAGAGGCACGACTGAACACAGGATGCCACCCTACCCCTGACCACTACAGACCAACCCAGCTCAAACAGGGGGGCTTTCTTGGGCTGAGGGTGTTTTTTGGGAATCTGGGACACCACCCCAGCTGCACCCATGAGCTCATGCTTGTGATGCTACACCCGAATCACACCCACAGCAGCCTTGTCCCTGCCTGAGCCCGGACAGCCGAGGGTTCCCCTTTTCTGTTCCCCCCCTCCCTGCCCAGCTAACGACTCCAGTCATGCCTGGGTGAAGAAAGGGAAGTTGTTCCCCTTTTCCCCAGTGACCTACAGTGAGGAAGCACTGCATCATCTCTCCCTCAGCCAGAAAGCAGATCTGGTGTCTTTACAGCATCCCTGCAGCTTTCATTGACTTTCCTTGATCATCAGCTTCTGGATGAGAACAATATTGCCTTTTGCTTACTGCTCCATCTCTGCCACAAAAAAACAACTTAATATTTCTTTAGAACAAGTTATGTTCCTTGGTAATGTGGGAATATGGACACAGAACACACCTGCTCTGAGTCTTTCTTGTGATATTTTCTGAAGATATAAATTACTAAATTTTTGTAACGTCTCTTCCCAGTTAATTGTAAAGCCATAATCAAAGTGCATTAAGAGCCAAACAAGGCATGCCAAAGATTTCACGTGGGTCTTTCCTGCAGCAGTGACAATGGATTCATTGGTGACTACTAGTGATGGAAGTGGGAGACTCTTCTGCATAACTTTGCTGTTGAAACCAACCTGGGCAAGATGGGAAAATACAGCAAAGAGCAGCTTTGCTGAAAATGAACAATACACTGAAAAGTTAATCTACCACCCTGCAGCCATGGTCAGCCCTACTCTGCTCCAGTTTCATCCCTGATGAGCATTGTCATGTGGGGCATCGACAGTGAAGAGAGATGAGCACATGAAAGTGATCAGACCCATGGAGCAGATGCCTGCACTGCTGCCCAGGGGACAGAGAACTCACACTGTTTTTTTGGTGGGTTGTTTTCCAATCTCACGTTGGCTTGTGACCAGTTCCATAACTTCTGTTAGAAGGAAATGCCTTATTTCAAAAGGACAATCTTAGTGATGGTCTCTTAAGAGGCCAGTCTGGTTTGCATCCACTTGTCATTAGCAGGTGATGATTATTTCTGCCTCATCAGCTTTTCCCCTACATGTGTTGGCACGGTTTTCTGTAAATGAAAATCCCCCTGGGGACTTCATACAGCTCTGAGACAATTTAGCTAACTCAAATCCAAGATGCACTGAGAGTCTGAATTGCCTTGTTTATTAATAAGACCTGACTTTTCCAGGACTGCAATTATTTACCTTTAAAAGAAACTGAGAGATTGTGCACCCAACGTTGCTGAACCACAAAACCAGAGTCCTGAATTTCTTCTTCCAAAGATCAGCCAGCCAAAAAGAATAAATAATGAAGTACATAGGTTTCTGCATACACTAAACAGATCCATTAAAGTGGATTTATCTGCACCATTTCCCTTAAATTGCAATCATGCCCTATTTCTGAGCAATTTTCTGTATTTTGTGAAATTATGTTCCTGGCAGTCGAATCGCTGTGTGGTGGCACTGCTACAGAGGGTTATGAAACTCATCTTGGGCTGACACTGCAAGTCCTGCTGGCTCTGAGCTCTGCAGCAAAGCCCAAAGAATGCTGCATGGCTGAAGGGATGGGCGTGTCACCTGCATCATTACTAAAACACAGTAAACTTTACCTAATGGTCCCTTTCACTATTTCTACGTGTTTCTTAAAAAAAAAAAAAAAATTAAAAAGGCACGTTCATGTAATTCTTGTAATGAATAACCTCAAAAGTAGGAGGAAGAACAGCCTTGTCTGGTTCTATCTATTATCTCTTTGATAAGTTCCACTTTGCAGAAGACAAATGCAGAGGCACAGAACTTTTGTCCCAGTCCTTCTTACCTCAAGATCAGCTTTATTCTCTGCCACCATGTAGATTCTCCCTGGTCATTCCTTGTAGAGCACTTCCATTAAAATGTGAAAACTCAGATACAGAGATGACCACAGAATGTTCACATAGCACACCAGAGTTATTCCCAGCATAAACAAGGCACTTACTTAATCATATATAAGGCATTTATTAGCCCTTGAGCAATCCTTAACTTGACTAAACAATTAAAATTCTCTAGCGTTTCATTCACTTGCCTGAACAATTAATTTAAAGAAATGTATGGAGAGAGCAAAAATCCTACCAAGTATGTGTTTATAGCTCTCCAAAACTAAACTCGTAAGAATAGATTTCATCTCATAATCTTTACCCAAGTGGCAAGAAAGTCAATTGGTTTGGACCATATCACACATTTATTCTTACAAAATAATCTAATTATTGCATTTTTCACTATTTCAAAAATGAAGATATATTCCCATACCTGAATTTTTACATCTCTGCAAAACAATTCCTGATATATATCGTACTTTACTAAAATCATTACCTATGAATAAAACTGACTCACTTGCTTCAATCAGGATGAGCTAAGAAATTCTAAGCCTTCCAAATTATTCTGAATTCAAGGCTCGCTACAGTCTCCTGGGCCCTGTAGTTTCCAAAGTCTTTAAAAAATGCTAGCTAAACAGCATTCATCCAGTTTCAGGGAAATCTGAGGAAGAGCAGCTTTTAAGCTCTGCATTTTCCCCAACAGGAGAAAAAGTTCTTTAGAGAAACTGAAAACAAAGCACAGACAGCAGAGCAGCCAGTGCTGCCACACTGACAAAGGAAAGATTTCCATTTATTTTCCTTTCAGGGGCAGCTGTGCTCAGCCAGTGGGCAAGGATAGGTTATGTGAATAAAAGGCTATACATTCTTTCATGCCTTAGGTATGAATGCCAAATACAAGCTAGCCAGGAATTTTACCATTGATACATGAGGACTTTTTAAGGAGCAATGGAAGCCAGGAGGTGTTGGGACGTGGGATTTCTCCTTGCTGACCACTAGAGCCCAGCACTCTCAGAGCAAGGCACCTTCCATCTTAATTTGATGGATGCAGCTGCTGCTGTTTCTGCTTGGGGGTCCAGCCAGGAGCGAGGCTGAGCCCCCAGTCCAAACCAGTGCATACAAAACCACACACACACACACACACAGACGAGGACAGTGAGGGAGCAGTGTCTTACCCAGCAGTTCCATAAACCCATCCACAGCCCCACCCTGTCCCTCAGCTCCAGCCTCACAGCACCTGAGGTCACTAGTGTGACACAACTCCCACACTCTCCAGTTTCACAGGGACACCTCACTCACGGAGCTTCAGACACTGCCACAGGATTTAAGTTGATAAAATACCCATGCTCAGACCCTGAGCCACCTTATCCTGCCACTGGGGGGCTCTTTCCAAATCCTGTTTTTCCTCCTTGCCAGCTTGTCCAGCCTTTAGTTTGGCAGTGAGTTTTGGATCCCTACAGCACTCAGTTCCCACACTGGCTACCCAATGGCTGGGCCCAGATCCTAAAGCCCCTTTTCCCACGGCCTCTTCTCCACCTGCAGGCGTCCAGACCTCCCAATAAAACACATCCACACATGCTGATGTAGCACAGAAAGCAAGGTCAACCAGAAAATTATCAGAACAAGTTTTTAATGAGAAGCTGGGATTGACTACAGTGATGAGTCAAAAGGCTGTCAGACAAGAGCAATGCTCAATAAACCTTCCTTTTGTTTCCTCTTCCATTTTTCCATACAAGTCCACATCCATCTCTGCCCTCTCCTCCCTCTGCTACTGTCTTCTCCCAAACAAAGCACCTCTAATCACTCTTCCCCATCCATCCCAGTTTTGCCATACCCCTATCCAAAATCAGTATTTCTGCTATTACTTGAATCCCTTACTGATACACCATGGTGAACCTTGCACAGTTTCCCCAATATTCCTTTCAATTATTTGTGAGGTTTGATAACCTTCCCCTTAAACATCAATGAAATGTGTCCATCTCTCCCAGCAATCTGTAAACTCTGTCAGCCTCTCAATGCCACTGCTGCTCAGCAATTTCTTCTATCATGACCAGCAGTTCCTCACAGTCTTTTCAGCTGGCAAAGCTTCAGCCAGAGCCTGGACATGTGCCTGCATAACATAAGGAGGTTTAATTCCAGGACAAAAACAAAACGAAGTGCAGATGTACTAAATTGCCACAGGTTTAATACGTGGCAGTGCTGAACTGTTCCTGTGCAACAGCTGTGATGCAGCTCACCTGCTGCAGCCAAACGTCTGGTTCCAGGTTTCATAGAGCTCCAGGTCCCTGGGGGACACGCTGGGCCGCACCGTTCTCAGGGCACTCTCAAAGTCCAGGAAAGAGATGGGCCGCACCTGCTCCGGAGTGATGGTCGCAATGTCCACGGACTGCAGACTGCGGATAGGGCCCAGAGAAGCTTCCCGACAGAGTTGTGTCATGTCTGCCCCGGAAAACCCATCGGATTTCTGCACTATGAGCTTGATTTCCTCTTCACTTAGAGAGCAGTGCTCCTTTGCCATCAGCCGGGTGACAATCTGCTTCCTGGCGGAGGCTTCTGGGAGAGGGATGTACAGTCTCTTCACCAGCCTCCTTCGGGCAGCTTCATCAATTTCCTGGGGTCGATTTGTTGCTCCAACCACTAGGATACGATCTTCAGAGGAGGTTGTCGCCCCATCTAGCTGCACCAGAAATTCCGTTTTTATTCTCCTGGATGACTCGTGCTCCCCCTCTCCACGCTGGGATAGCAGGGAATCGATCTCATCGATGAAAATCACCGCTGGCTGCTGACACCGCGCCACAGCGAACAGCGCACGCACCATCTTCTCCCCCTCTCCCACCCATTTGGAAGTCAGAGACGAGGCACTGATGCTAAAAAAAGTTGCTCCAGACTGGCAGGCGATGCACTTGCCTATGAGGGTCTTGCCAGTCCCAGGGGGCCCAAAGAGAAGAATTCCTTTCGGAGGACCGCGCAAGCCGGTGAAGATGTCTGGTCTCAGCATGGGCCACACCACTATTTCTTTTATAGTAGCTTTGGCAAACTCAACTCCAGCAATGTCATCCCAGCCGACCGGAGGCCCGTGGTCCATGATCTCGTGCATGATGAGTTCAACCATTTTTGGTTCTATGTTTTTCAGCCGTTCATCCACAGGGAGCAATGGGTCTGTTGATTCCCCAACATGAGGTTTACACTGTGCTCCTCCATTTTCACTTCCATCTTGTCTCGGAACTGGAGGCACGAACTTGCCGAACGGACCCCGAGACCTGCCTGCACCCAGGGATTTTTTTACACCTCCATATGATGAGACTGGTGCACGCTGGTTTTGAGATTTCTTTTGCTGATCCATCCACAGCTGTTCCTTTGCAGTTTTAAACCCAGGAGCACTGCTCTCTTCAATTCTGTTTCTTTGCCCTGAAAAACCATTAGTTTCTGTAGAAATGGAAGCCTGACATGGAGCAAGGCTAGGAACAGCTGTGCTGCCTTCATCAGCCAGACCATAGAATGCTTTTCTTTTCCCAGAATTTGCAGGCCAGGCAGATACAGCTGACTGGTTGAAAAGAGACAAATTTTGCCCATCACAACAGTTACCTGACATTTTCAGAGAACTACTATTAGTGGCATCTTTACTTCCAAAGAGCGGAGTTGCCTGGAAACAGGGATTAATCTGTTTGCTTAAGGAGGCTGAAGCAGCAGGAAGTGTGTCTGAAGTTCTGGTCACAGGAGGCACACTGCTTTGAAGGGACTTGGAAGATGAGGGATGCCCAAGAAGATCTGGTCCCTGACTTGCACATTTTGCTGAGCCAGCACTGAGCTCAGTCTCCCTGGTACTACTGAAGACATCGAGTTTAGGAAGAGCTGGAGCAGCAGAGGCACTGACCCCCTTATCAGCTTGTACATGGGCATCTGCCAGTGCCATCTGAGAGCTCTGGAAAATTTTGCCAGCCTGCATCCTCTCTCGCACACACTTTAATTCAAACACGTTTTCTGTTGTCAAGGCAGACTGCCACTTGTCACTGTCACTTTGCTGACATTTTGCCAAAGTCAAAATGTTTTCTGCATAGTTATTCAAGCCAGTCTCTGCGTTGCCAGAGTCAATAATGGCAGAGTATTTCTCTGCATACTTCTTAAACAGGTTGGCAGCACAGACCTGGGAGATCTCGGAGTTTGCCCATGCATACTGAATACGCAGGATCTTGGCACGGTATCCATCTGCCTTCTGCCCGGGCGTGCAGGTGCCAGAGGTGACAGCAAAGTAACTTTCCTGCCAGTCACTCAGGTGCACTGCACTGGGGGTGGGGGCCTCCATCACTGACGCTGCAACAGACAGAAAATACCCGCAGTTACAAAATCCCATTTCTCACCGTTTGCACCAGCTGCCTCCTCCCTTTCCTAAATACTCACACAGGAAAACCTACATTATTTTAACTGAGAGAAAAAGAGCAGGAGGACTTGCAAGCTACTTAGCCAGTCTGGACACTATTCTTTTCAAAATGCAACCAGCTTTGTGGTGGTTTAAAGGCATTTAGACTGAGCTTCTCTTTTCTTCCTTGTCTAAAGAAAGAAAATAAAAAAATGGGGGGAAAAGAAAAAAGAGAGTTTGCTTCTAACCAGAGGTCTCCTGGGGAGGTAAGTAGGCTGCAAAGAATGGTAACAGATGGCCAAGCAAAAACTGGCCTTGTTAAATGAAATCACCAGTGCTTTCATTCTTATTTGACAGAATATGGCACAGTGCAGCGGAGGACAGAGGATACACCACTGTCAGAATGATTTCAGATATTACAGTGATACTAATAAAAATGAAACAATTAAGCTAGTAAGTAAAATTGTGTGCAGTGTCTCCGAGGGGAGATAAAAATTGAATGAATAATCCTGAACGTAGCAAGCTTTCAGATTAAGAAAATATTAACAAATTACTAACAAATGTTCAAAACTATTTCTTCCATTTAGAAGGCACTAAAATGTCCCCATTTTACACTTTACGGAAACAAAGCTCTTCTGTGTTTAAAGCAATGCTTGTTTCTCAGTTTTGGAAAGTGGGATTTAAACTCTTAGGTTTTTTTTTAGGAAATGAGAAATACTACATTTGCCTCAGGAGGAGTGCTTTGTTTGACTTGAAATGATTTGCTCACGTTCATGAGGTATTTTCTTTCTCTGCAAAGTGTCATGTTCATACATTCTGCACCTTTTCCAGAGTATGAGTCAAGTTGCAATCCTCTGGATCAGCTACAGACTGTGTAGGAGTGCAGATGAAGGTACAGGTGCAGTGTTCCTGCAAGGCTGGGGAGATAGAACTGAAGGAATCCAGACTATGTGGGGGTGTCTTGCCTAATTATTTGTGAAAAGTCTGGCATCAGCATTAGCCAAGAGAGAGCACAAAATGGTCATTGCTCATATGCTTATATGGTTACATATATGATAAATAACGAGGATGTAAATCATTTTGGTTTGAATATTTTTTTACTACAGCCTAAATTTGTAGAGGTGTTCAGAAAAGTCAAAATACATTTTACCTGTAAATCTGGCACCTCTAGAAGCAAATCCAATTAAAATAAACAAACAAAACCACCAAGGTAAACACTCGCTCTGAAAAGTTACTGTCAACTTTTGCAGTGAGAAGTCTAACTGGAGTCTAGAGAACCTGATACCAACTCACATCATCTATCCATAGCTGACTGGCAGGTGAACAGATGAAAGGCTGCAGCCTTTTACTTCTTTTCTCTAAACAGCTGTCACTGTGCACATATTTTTTTTTAAACTGTTGAATCAAAAATATCTTAAGTGGCATAAAAGCATAAGTTCAGGAAAAGTTTAATAGCAGGTATTTGTCCCCATGAAATACTTCCATAATTCAGAACACAAAATCTCAAGTTCACCATCACTTTCTTAATAATTCAATGGTCACCTTTATAGCACTGAGGGAATGCCATAACAAGTGAACAGTGGTAACCAGTCTGAAATTTCAGTTTCATTATTGAATCACAGAATGGGTCAGGCTGAAGGGACCACAGTGGTCCCCTAAGTCCAACCTCCCTGCTCAAGCAAGGTCATCCCAGCACACAAATGGCAACTGTCTGCACGGTGTTCAGACAGCTCTTGAATATCTGCAGTGAGGGAGATTACACATCCTCTTTGGGCAACCTGTTCCAGTGTGGCCACTCCCACAGGAAAGAAGTTCTTCCCCATATCCAGGTGGAACCTCCTATGCCTCAGTTTCTGCCTCTTGTCCTATTGCTGGACACCACCAAGAAGAGCCTGAATCCCTCCTCTCCACACCCACCACTTCAGTTACTTATATACATCTTAAGCATCGTCCAGAATAATTCTCTCGCCTTAGTCTAATCCATATTAATTGTCCTCGTAATCTTACAGCTTCTCTCCAAGAGAGCCGTCTGCACACACGTTCAGCCAGAACTGTTCCCAGACGAGGCCATCGTACTTGGTGTGCGTGCCAAAGCCGGGTGTGTATCCAAGCATTGCCACCAATGGATCGGGCACTCGGGTGCGCGCTCGCCTCAGCGCGGAGCGGGCGGGAATGCTGCTGGTGACGCTGCCCTCACACAGGCACAGGGCCCGGGGAAACACAGCCGAGCACACCCGCCCTCTCACTAAGCCCAGGCCAGCAATCCAGCCGGGAAGCTGCCCGGGCACGGCTGAGCCCTCGCCGCCCCTTCGCAGCCGGCAGCTGAGGCCCCTCAGCTGAGGAGCCCTGGCCGGCCCGGCGGCCGGCAGGTCCCCCCGTCACGGCACCGGGAAGCGGAGGCCACAGCCCCGAGAGGGTCCCGCAGCTCCCTCCGTCCCCCCTTCCCTTCCTCCCCAGTCCCGGCCGTGCCGCTGCCGCTCCCGCCCCCCGCACCCACCGGCTGCCGCCACCGCCTCCGCGAACCGCGCGCGCCCGCTCTGCGCCCGGCCCCGCCCCGCCCCGTCCGCCAATCGGATAGCAGCGCTCCGGGAGACGCAGCCAATCAGAGGCCTGGGGCGGGCCGGGTGGAGAAGGGCGGGTTCGCTGCGCCGACGTCACCCGCAGCGCTGGGAGGGAAGGCGCGCCGAAGGGCGGGCCCTCCTCATTGGCTGCGCCTGAGGTGCGCGCTGTCCAATGGGCGCGGGGTCCGTGCCTTGGGAGGCGGGGCCGGGCCCGCGCCGGCCGCAGCGCGCGGAGCGGCGCGTGCGCCTGCTTCGTGGGGACCGGCGGGTCCGTTCCGCGTGCCCGTTCCGCGTGCCCGTTCCGCGTGTTCCCTGACAGATCCCACCCGGATCCCTCCGCGTGTTCCCTGCCGGCTCCCTCTCGTCCCCTCCGTGTTTTCCCCCGTCCCTTCCGCGGCTCCCGCAGCCCCGGGCGTTTCTCTCGGTGCTGGTGTCTGGGCTCCCGCTCCCGCTGTTCGGGAAGACCTTTCTGATCAGTTCCTCAGCTGAAGGTCAGAGCAGCCGAGAAGGGACAGGCTGGAGAATGTTACAGGTTCTGTCACGTTTATTGCCTGTCCAGGCCATTTTCAGTAGCAGTAGAAAATGAAAACTTGGAGCTGTGCAATTTCTGTGAGGCACACGAGGTCTTTACCTTCAGTTCGGTGGTGGAAGGAGCAGAATTGCTCCTAGTGTGGCTCTTCCTGTGTCAAACTCGACTTT